GTCTCACTTTACTTGAGAATTGGGAGTGTGACTTCTACATAGAGGTGAGGATTTAGCCGCCCACTCTTCCCATACATGAGTACAAGTTGATTTGTACAAATTCCTTGTCATACTCTCCAACCCTCCTCCAGGCACCCAGTACCAGATTACTTACACAACTGTATTGAGAAAGTGACTCCTTGTCGCACCAACAGTAAAGATGAGTACGGAATTGGTGTGGACGTTTTCTTTCCTCAGTCTCATAATTCTCCCTACAATCCAAATACCTTACTGAATACTTAAATAAAGCTGTAAGACTCCATGATAAATTTGACCCCTCAACTATATCCCACTTTGGGGATTTTTTGACACTCACCCTGGGTCTGGCACACACTGAAGAAACCTCTCCTCCTCTGTACACTCCTTCTGTATTACGGGAACAAACTTGACCTTGTACCTGTGTGGGGCCACAGGAGGGGTGTATCTAGACATCAGGTCATCCAGACTCCCTATGACATGGTCTTTCTTCAAAATTGAAAAGAATAATCCAAAATCCACACAGACAGAAAAAAGGTACATGTAAGATTTTTGAGCATATCAAAGTTTGAGACAGTCCATTTGTTCCAAAAATAAAGAAACTTTAAGAAACTTCTGTGTTATACTCTATATATCTGCTACCTGGTATTGGGTTAATGTCAATCCACGAACTTCACCAGAGTCTATAATGCCGAGGTATGTTGTTCCACCTTTCCCAGTGTTCACAAACCCATTCAAAGCTCTGTAAAAGTAGGAGGGGGCAGTTAAAGTGTGTATGGCCTATAATCATATAAGAAAAAGGATGACACATTCCCTGTATGCTGAAGAATCTCTTAATCATTATGCACTTCTGTGTCTTTTTCAAACATACTAACAATTTAATCAGTTACTTTTTACACACAAGCATATCAATCTGTTTATATCTTCTAGCCCATGCTATCTACCTGGATAAAAGATTCTACCTAGATACTGCCTTTCTAGATGCTTTCTCTTTCAGTGTTTCTTTAGTCCAGGGAGGTAATTCTTCAACAGCTAAATTCCTGTGACCTTTAAATTCATGATACATATCCTCCTCAAATGGAACAACAGAGTCTTTGATGTAGTATCTTAAAAGCTTCGGTTTGGATTGGGCCATTTTATTGCTGTCCAATCTTATCTATACAGAATTCTCTTCACTGCCTGGTTATAGTAAAACATAATTAAAAGTATGTCTTTAATTAAAGTTTTTATAAGGCAACTTTCGAAGAAATCAAAAAAAAATGTCCAGGAAAAATGCTCATCAATTTTCATATTAGATTTTTCATGTTGTAGACTAAAAGTCAAATGCATCTACTGAAGGTCAAACGACATGAAGGGGGCATGTCCATCTACAACGCAATGAATGATAAGCTAATTTTAACAGGTCAAGCACATTCTCATGAGTGAGATATATAGCTTGAATAACCTATCCAGATTTAATAAGTTTTTTCAAAATAGCTAGATTAGCAGATTTTTCACAAGTATACATTTTATATGAAATAAATAAAAACAAGTATTCACTGAAAAAAAAAAAGTCAAAGATACTAAAGCTTTTAAAATAACTTTGAACAGTGTTGAATATACAGACATTTTTACGGTAAAGTTCATTTTTGTTTTTTGTTTTTATTTACACAAATAATATATTTACATGTTTTTAAACTGAGTAAATATATGATCTAGCATCGTTTTAGAAAACTCAATCCCCTCTATAGGGCTTGAGTAAAAATTACAAGTATATGTCACAGTGATGACAATGGATAGGTCCAGTTTAATCAGTCCATTTAGCTACATAGCTAAAATTACCTACCGTATCATTATTTACCTACCTCAGGTAGCTTAATGTAGCTATTTCAAGGCAACTTTTCACAATTTTGCTCTTTATTTTAAAAAGACAAAAAATCGCAAATAAATGACTACTAATATTTATACTAGGGATTATTTAAAAAGCAATCCAAAGCAAAGATAGTTTTAACATTGCTGCATTTGAACACTTTAAGGAAAAGATGTATTTCCATGGTTTGAGTAACTGTACACCACCTTGTGTGCGGTGAGGCGTGATTAAGTATGATTGCTTCCATTGTGCTCATGTTAACTAGAACTGGTTTTCTTCATTATTTCATTCATGAAGTAACTGTTTGGTCACTAAAACTTTTAGGGCCGGTACACACGATAAGGCTTGCCTTATAAGTCATGGAACTTAACTTCTTGCGTCTGATTTACAAATAGAGCACTGCTCTATTTCTTAATACAAGACTTAGCTGAAATTTTCTTCTCAACCAATGAAAATCATTTGCCCAAATGTCATTCTATTTTTATCAAACCATACACATGGGTATATTGAAGTGAACACAAAGTATTTTCGAATAAGCTAATGAAAATATCCACAAATGCTTCAATCTGTTCTACCTCTTCCTCTTTTTTTAAGAAGTGTGAATGTACTTGTTGGTATAATTATTACAAAGCCTAGTAATCTAGTCTTCTATTTTAATGACTGAATGCACTATTTATGGCTGGAAACAAGTGGGATTTATGGAAATGTTGTATATAATCTTGTAATTCTTGCCTTAACGTGTGGACACGAGAGCCGTACGTCCTGCAAAACATAAGGTTTTAGACTTATAAGGCAAGCCTTACCATGTGTACCGGCTCTTAGAACCTTGATTGAAATTGTGCAGAAAAAGACACATCTCCAAGAGTGATTTTTTCATGAATTGTTTTCAGATGAGTTCAAAGTTGAACATTATCACTGCATCAAAGTGCACTTTTCTGCACTTTCTGAGAAAAATGCTAATTCAAGAAATAAGTTTGATTTAGAAGTTAAATAAAGCTACTTCAGTTAAGTAAATAAAGCTATGTAGGTAATTCAAGCTACGTAGCTAAATCTAGTGATTGTACCAGACGTGATAGACAAACAGAAAAGGTTTGTATGTTTACAACCATTTGCTGATCACCTATTCAGTTATCTGAAAATTTGAATGAAAAATGCATTTATTTATTTAACTAAATAACTGATACATTCTATTTACCTCCTTCATCAACAGTAAACGTCCCAGTCCCAGATGGCAGATCCCTGGACAAACAAAATAAAATTCCCGCAATAAACAAAGAAATGGAGAGATATCGAACCCGACTTTAAATAGGGAATCTGAGCTCGATGTCTCATATGTCTTCGATGTATTCTTATCTATAACGCAAGTTACCTTTTTGTGATCTTTGATATTAAATCTTGCAAAAAAATGTTTTCTTTTTGTCTTTTATGTGCGTTAGTATATTTAGGAAATGCAATTATTTCTTCTTTAATGTGAATTAACAAAAGAATAGAAGAGAACAACACCATCTTGGGTCTTTCCTTTAAGCGCTCTGCCGGAAAGACCCGAGAAGACCATTTAATTTCAATCTGATTAAAATCAGATCCTTTGATCCGCTCACAGAAATCGCTACACAAGGATCGGAAGAATGATTTGATTTATATCTGGGCGAGATTTTAAGTATGCATATTTTTTCATTGGGAAATATTAGTACTAAAAATTATGAAAAGGATTTCTAGTCGGAACAGATAATAGAGAATAAAGTACAAAAATATCAAGAGAATGTAAATTGATACCGAAACTTGAATTTCCCGTCTGTCTTTCAAAAATTTCCATGCATCAAATTACCATGATGTCGGCAAATTCAGAGCTAAATATCGTGTATTGCAAAAAACATAATATTTGTTGTTTTAAATCAGGAGTGGGTGGGAGAGGGGGAACCAGTGCCTCACCCCTCACAAAATTAAAAAAAGTCTTGATAAAATAAATCCTCACCACCACCCAATAAACTTTATGGGAAGTCCAGTGGTGATTTTGACTGAATCGGCTGCAAGAGGAGAAGTAAATTGTAACATACTTCAAGACACATCCACATTGTCCAAACCTTTCATAATCAAAACCAACAAATTAATTACAGGGGCGCATCCTCGAAATTCCACTGGGGGGGGGGGGGGTGAAGCCGCCTATACTTTTTAAATGTTAAATGACAACAGGAACCAACGTTGGGCCGTGGAGATTTTCCACTTCCACGTGTTCCCTACTAACATTTTTGACGATTAAAACAAAACTAAGTGTCCAACACGAAACACTTATATACTTCGTGTGTGTTTCGAGCAGATTCAATAAAATTTTGCTATACACGGTATTAATCTTGGAACAAAAGATGGCTTAAAAGTTAAAGGCGGATCCAGCGTTTGCGCGCCGCACCCATCCCATCTCCATTTGATTTTTTTTTTAAATTTTGTTTGGATAACAAGCATTTACCTTCAGTTTAGTCCAGTTTAGCACATACATTACTACTGCCCCCTCCCTGTTATGAAATTCCTGGATCCGCCACTTAAAGTCACCAGTAATACATCATATACATGTAGTTTCAAATGATTGACAGGGGTTAGCAGGCCAGGTAAAGGATGTATTCACTATTACAAAAGAATTGACCTGTGGGAGAGAACAATTTCCCGGAAAAATTGACATTTAAAAATCAATCTTTATTTGTTGTTTTCTACCGTATATATGTCTAAATTTTTCAAATTTGTATTTTACAACTAAAATTTATTATTTACAACTTTACAATAAACCTCCAAAGTTGGCCGAAACACCATTTTGTCCGTTAAAGCGTGATTTTTGCATGAATTTTGGCCTAGAAGTCCTTCGGGGCAGGCCTGCCCCTTAATAAAATTGTGACATTTTGATAGTTTGGGATGTAAGGAATAATTTAAGATAGGATTTTTTTAGGGGCACCCCTGCCCTAGGGTCAAAGTTCACAAAAAAACCTACACAAAATAAGGAAACCTGATTTTGACAATCAGCTTCAAATTTATACCAGTTAATTTTATAGTCAGAATAGCTCAGTTGATATATGCGCTAACTGTTATATCGTGAACATTATCTTTTTAAAGTCGGGGGTTCGAATCCACCTGGCACACTGGTATAAGCACACTTTCTCCGAGGACAAGAATAACTCACTCTGTGTTACTCGATACAGGTATTCTCGACAGCATTGAGCTGCAATGAATTTCAATTGTATATATTCCTTAGAATTTAATCACATTGGTTTTATTCTGTCTGTGCTACTAGTGCTTGTCTGGGTTACATGTAGTATTTTACGTATTGCTTGAATTATTTGAGCTTAATATATTTAGAATAAAATACATGTACTTTTGTTTTCAGTCAATGTTCTAAGATCTTAAGTTTTGAAACAGTTGGGAACTTGGGCTACATATATCAGTAACTGTACTCCCTTGGATTTCATTTAGGCCTATATAATTTGCACACATTAATGGCATGTTTTTATTATATCTACGGAATAGTGTTGTAAAATAAATAGCCTATACATAAAGAACAGAATTCCAGAGATAGTAGACATTACCATTATGTACTATGAGAAGTAAAGAAAAATATCAATTATTACATTTGGAGATAACAAACTCAGAATATCAATGAAAGTGTTCCTCCTACCTCTACTCACTGAAATAAAGATTTATGAAAAACAAATTGTTACATGTATTCAGCCTCAAGTCATTAACCGGAACGGAAATCGACAAGCTTTTTGTAGAGAAAAAAACCAAGCTCGGCCATATAGGTCAGATCCCTATTTATATAGAAGTGAACCTTTGAAGACGGTGCTTATTTTCTATCCCTTTAATAGGTGCTGGTTAAAGGTTAAAGAGTTGGGAGGGGGTTATGGACTTTAAAAAATTACATGACAGCAAAAACTTGTCATATTTGTAGTTACTATGAGTTTTTAGAGCATTTTTTTTCAAACATATTGCCTAATTGTAATGGGCGATAGCCTCTGACCCCAATCCACCACTGCTTAATTATTGCTATAGATACATGTAAGTCTACTTTTACCAGTTGTTTACTTTAACAAGTTTAATAATGCTTTGTGGTGATGTTAAGGAAGTTACAGTGAAAGTATTGAATGCATATAAGAAATTCGTCTTCATGTCTATGTACATCTCTATGCATATATATCTGTATTATTAAATCGAGGTAGGTCTTCGTCATTGTTTCTGGAATGTAAATCGAACGTAGCCAGCTTTTCACATATCACGTGACAGGAACCCTGTATTTAAACAAAGCGATTACTGTAAATAGTGATCTGTATGATTTCTTTTGCCTAGAAGCGCGAGGCGATCGTTTTTAAATTGCAGATACTGAAATAGTCGTCAAGTGTAAGTATTTTAGTGATTGAGATATTGGACATAGGTTCACGGTCATAGTAAACTTAGTTTAACTGAAGGGCACAAAGTGAAACTGACTTGTTTTCTTCTCCGTTGTCATTCAAGATTTCAGATTTATTGAGATTTATATTTATACAGAAAATAATATAAGTGAATCAGAGATCGTATTTGAGATATTACATTTGTTATTTAATTCATTATTTCTGACTAAATCCTACTGTTACGTATATAAGTGAGTGAATGTGGGAGGGGTGGAATCATCAGTCCTTTAGAAAAAAATTAGGGCCTACGACTAAAGAATGAGATATTGTCCTTATTTTATGTTAAAATTTTTCATCATTTTCCACTGCGAAGATGGCTGCTTCTGTGGCAGTCAGCCAAACTCAACAGCAGCGGAATGTTGGTGGTAAGCAAAGAATGCTGTCCCATTTGGAGAGCAATAAGGAGAACCTTCCATTTGAGATGCAGTCCACTAAAATGGAAAATCATTTGGAAAGGATGGATATCAGTCCCTTAAACAGAGGGGAGGTCAAAGGCAAACATCTGTCACAGGTAAAAGGAAATCAGGAGAACCCAACAAGAAATAATTGAAAAATATGTGTCCCCTGTGTAGCAAAAGTAAAAAGGGTCAATTTTTAAATTTAGAATGTAATGATAATGAGAAATATGGGTTATCTACTTATCAGGGGTAACTGCAATACTAAGTTTTATTACACAGACAAAGGGTTCTAAAGACCTTTGACCTTGTGATCTCAAAATCAATAGAGTTTATCAACTCTTTGGAGGGGAGAGGGGAGGATAAGTGTACCAATTCTTATGTCTGTCAAGCAAAGGGTTCTCAAGATATTGAGCTGACGATATCTTTGTATGTCCAGAGTAGTTAAACCCTTAACCTATGACCTTTGACCCAAAAAAATCAATAGGAATCAATTGCTTCTTAGAGTATACCACTGAACCAAGTTTGATGTCTGTCATGCTAAGGGTTTTCAAGATTTTGATCAGACAGTATCATCCTTTGTCCAGAGTAATTTAATCCTTCACTTTTGATCTTCTTAGAGTGCATTTAGATTGATATCTGTCATGTCAGGCATAAATTCACAATATGCTAAGCAGACAATGTCTTCCTGTATCCAGAGTAGTTGACCTTTAACTCTGTGACTCAAAATCAAATAGGAATCATCTTATCCTTAGTGGGTACCAGTAAACCAAGTTTAATGTCTGACAAGCAAAGGGTTCTTGAGGTATTGATTGAACAACACTTGGTCTACTTAAAATCTAATATACTGACCTACTGTTGCAAACCTCTTTTTGTCAAAGGGAAGCATAAAATTCAAAGATGAATAGATATTAATATATGATTAAACACTGTTACAGGCCATTTGAACTGAAATGAACACTTAATTGTTACAAATAAGAGGTGATCACTTGAAAACACATATCTTAGAATACAGGAAATTTAATACAAACCAAAAAAGGTACCTGTACAAGCATAGCAGTTGATTAATTTTGCATCAGGTCACAAGATGAAAGAAACACACTTATTACAGTCAAAGGGGGATCATTCAAAGAATGTAAAATCTCAAGAATTAGTTGAGAATTAGTTGCTTTAGTAAAATTGAGGTGATGGGGAAAAATTTTAGGTCAGCATCTTCAATGGTAAGGGCAGGTCAAACAAACTACCACATAAAAGAAAATATTTGTACAGTTAGAATTGCCCATGTCACAGGTACAGGACATATTACATGTATACGGAAATGTCTGCCATATGTAGAGGTATATTGGGCTTGTGGTGGTCACAGGTGCATGGGTGTAATAAATGATCAAAAGTCATACTGAAATATATACCTTATATGAAGGTAGTTCACAACGTGTTATAAGGAGGGGGAGGGTATTTACTTAAATATTATGCATATTTTGTACTGTTTAGTTGTAGGCATAACCAAGAAGGATTATTCAGGATTTTTTTCCAGCTATTTAGAAATTAAAGTTTTATCCCATTTCTTTACACCTCTTGAAAGTCATGTTGTTATAAGTTAATTTATAATTGAAAAGAATTATTGTTACTTTCATGTGAACAAGATGTACATACATTCCATTAATAACCAAAAGTACTTTGTCAAAGATTAAATATGATATGTTCAACAGAGTGACAAAGTCAAAGAGAAAGTAGTACTGAGGGACAGAATCAATGCCCAGCAGTACAGCAAAGGAGGAAACCAGAAGGTCAAGGCCACATCAGGTAAGGCTTACAACTTATTTAAAGTCGAGAAATTGTCTGGTAAATTTATTAAGCTACATGTATCCGTTATCAGGTCAGGATCACAACAAAAGAACAAGATGTGTTTGTGAAACACTGATGCCCCCGTATGGCAGCTTATGGCGAAGGTTAAAGTTTCTCAAATGCAAGTCAAACTCCAGGTCAAGAGATCAAAAATGTTGGTACCCAAAGAAAGGTCTAGTCTCGAGGAATATACCTGTGAAATTTGAAAGCCCTAGCACCAACTGTTCAAAAGTTAAGGCGAAGGTCAAAGTTTTTTAAAAGTAAGTAAAACATCAAGGTCAAGGTCAGATGGGGCCCCAAGGGAAGGTCTTGTCACAAGTGATACACATGTTCATGAAAGGTGAAAGCCCTAGAACCAAACATTCACATGTTATGGCCAAGGTTAAAGTTTTTTAAAAGTAGGTCAAACTCCAAGGTCAAGGTCAGAAGGTAAAAGTGGTTGGTATCTAAATGAAGGTCTTGTCACAAGGAATACTCATGTGAAGTTTGAAACCCCAAGCACCAACTGTTCAAAAGTTATGGCCAAGATTAAAGTCTCACGAAATTTTGCAAAAGTGGGTCAAACTCCAAGGTAAAGGTCAAAAGGTCAAATATGGAGGTACCTTAAGAAAGGTCTTCTCACAAGAAATACACATGTGAAATATGAAAGTCATAGCTCCAACTAATCAAAAGTTATGGGCAAGGTTAATGTTTTTGCAGACAAACAGACAGACAGACAGATGGACAGGGCAAAAACTATATACCCCCAAATCTTTGATACGGGGCATAAAAATATTGGAGGCTTTTAATCATTCAACCTAAAAAGAAAAGGAAAAGAAAAGTGTAAAAAAAAAAAAGAATCCAACTTTATTTTAATGGTCATGATAAGTTAATACATGTTCCAGCTACTTTATTGATGGTCATGTTCACATAAAACAAGCAGTTAGTTCACATGCATCTGTATATTTTAACACATGATAAAAACAAGATATTTATACCCCGACTCCAAAGGATAGGGGGGTAAACTGTTTTACCCTTGTGTGTCTGTCTGTCTGTCTGTGTAGCTGTTCGTAACAAATCTAGGCATGCCATATGGTGGGATTCATTTTTGTATTATTCTGATGTCAACTTCCTGTTTAGTGTGTCTGTCTGTTCCCCAAATTTTAGTTTCTGTCCGTAACAAATTTTTGTCACAGTTTTCTCAGCAACTACTCATTGCAGTTGCTTGAAATTTTAGCATGTCATATAGTGGGATTCATTCTTGTACAAATCCAATTTCAACTTCCTGTTTATCCGTGCTTCTGTTCGAACCAAATTTTCATCACAGTAATCTCAGCAACTACCTCATTGATGATGCATGAACTTTTAGCACACTTTTTGTCTAGGCATGCATTATGGAGGGATTCATTTTTGTACAAATCTGATGTCAACTTCCTGTTCATCTTTGCATATGTTCATACCAAATTTCTGTCACATTTTTTTCAGCAACTGTTCAAGGCAGATGCTTGAAATTTTAACACTCTTTATGTTTAGGCATGCCATATGGTGGGATTCATGAGAGCGTATATTCACATCAGATTGGGTGTATTACTAGTAAGCATAGACTCACAGACTTATTGTTTGTATTCTAAGACTATGATAAATATCATTTTCTATAGTTTAATAAAAATTGGATACAGTAATTCATTGGTTACAGTACCAGCATAATTAGCAATTACTTGTTATGCACACACTTTTTCTGCTGGTTATTTTTTGATTAACAAAATACAAGTGAATTATTAGAACTTTGCTGTTTTCTGGGAGGAAAGTATAATGGGGGGGGGGGGGTTTGGGTACCTATAATAATACCTCTGTGCTTTACAATGGTAATAATCTTTCAGATTTTTTTAGCTCACTTCAAAAAAAGTTGGGGGAGTTTACATTATGGTGTTGGCATACCAGGTTTAAGTTTTTGAGGCAGTTTTCTGTCTAAATATTTCTTTCCTTTATAATAAATTGATCCTAGCACATGTAGTAGCATGGCTAGCGCGCTTCATGAAATATGCCTACGTGACGAGTCTGTGTGATTTAAACACCAATAACTCACACAGAACTTAAAAACATTCCTTAAATATACATGTAAATTTATGCTCATAATGCTTGGTCATACATTATTCAATCTGTATGCACACCTGAGTGATTCTTGATGCAGTGGAATACTGTGCAGAGAGAGAGAGAGAGAGAGAGAGAGAGAGAGAGAGAGAGATCAGGTGAGCTTGTCTAATCATAATTGGATCATTGTCATTGATGTCGTCTTAACTTTTCACATTTTTGACTTCTTCTCTAGAACCACTCGGCACATTTCAACCAAACTTGTCAAAAAGCATCCTTTTGGGAAGAGGATTCAAGTTTTTTTTCAATTTAAGAGCCAGGCCCTCTTTTATTGGGAGCTACATTTGTAATTAAGAATTAGTGGAAATTAGCATCTTTTAACAACCTTCTTAAAAAACCACTGGGCCAGAAAAGATGAAACTTATATGAGAGTAGAATCAAATTTGTTCACAATTTGTGGGGACAATAGGCAAAAAAGTTTGATATAGGAATATATAAGAATGCATCTTTTAAAAAAAATTCTGAAAAACAGCAATGCATGATTAGTCATATTAATATTGAAGCATCCTAACCAGTGTAGATTTGATTATGCTCAAATCATGACCCCTAGGGTAGGATGGGTCCACAGTTGGCGATAAAAGTTTTATTTAGGAATATAAAGGAATAAATGTTTTAAAATCTGAAGAACAAGAAAGTCCTGATTAGTCATATTAATATGGAAGCATTCCCAGATAGTAAAGATACAAATTTGTTCAAATCATGACCCCCAGGGCTAGAGTGAGGCCGCAATAGACAATAAAGATTTCATAAGAATATATAGGAAAAAATCTTTAAAATCTAGGTAAAGTCCTGATTACATTGTAGTCATATTAATTTAGAAGCATCTTCAGGTATTGTAGATTCAAGATAATTCAAATTATGACTCTGGGGGTAGGGTAGGGCCATAATAGATCAAAGTTTTACATGGGAATATATTGGAAAAAATATGCTGATGAAGAACAGTGACTTAGAAGAACATTGTGGCCCATGGAAAATTAGTAGTCGCGGATGGACTCCAAACGGAAAAAAATGCGAATAAAGGACGTCGCGAATAATAGTTGGTTTACAGTATATGGTCTACGCTCCAAATCGGTAATTATAAGGTCGACGCTCAACAGGACGTATCTTTCAAGCTGCAAGTAACAATTTAGGGTAATGTCAGTTTAAAAACGTGTTCATTAAAATTCCATCTCTGTTTTAAAGTTTTTTTTTCGGTTTTCAAGTTAAACTTATCGAAATTACATGTAAATGTTTTCTAGAGAAATAGTTACGTTTTCTTGATATACGAGCCATATGTGTAATAAGCAGAAAGTGGGGACCTTTTTAAAAATTCCTAAACTTTATTATCTTTATCGTTCGCTTTCGATCATTGACTGACGACAGTTAGGCAGATGACCACTAATCTATGGAACGCCAAATTAACATAAATTCAAATATTTGAACCTATCTTCAAATAATTGTACCTATCTTCAAATAATTGAACCTATCTCCAAATGAATTGAAGATAGATACAATTGAATTAAAGATAGGTACAATTGAATTAAAGATAGGTGTAAATAATCATACCTATCTCTAAATAATTAAACCTAGGTTCAAATAAATTACACCTATCTTTAATGGAATTATACCTATCTTCAATTCATTTGAAGATAGGTACAATTGATTTAAAGATAGGTACAATTGATTTGAAGATAGGTACAATTGTAACATATCCACAAACGATTTGAAGATAGGTACAATTCAATTATACCTAGGTTCAATTCGTTTTGTGTTATTGAAAATAATGAAAGCTCCCTCTAATAGCGACTTGAACATGGAGGGAACTGCACAGTGAATTTTTTATGGGGAGTGGTTGTTATTGTCAGTATCTTTATAATTAAAGATAGGTTCAATTCAATTGCACTTATCTTTAAATCAATTATACCTATCTTTAATTCACGGCATTTGCACCTATCTTCAAATCAATTGTACCTATCTTCAAATCAATTATACCTATTTTCAAATGAATTAAAGATAGGTATAATTGAATTAAATCTATCTTTAATTCATTTGGAGATAGGTACAATTGACTTAGATTACATTAGTTTCACTGAATGATGTATTTATTGATTATAAGCTTTGTCAAAATTCTTTGTCTGAATTTTTCCAAAATTAATCGACTGTGTCAAAATTGGCATTACATTAATGCAGAGAGGTTACATATGTTGTTGAGTTCAGGGTTCGAAATTCACTATATACAACTCGCAAAACGCGAGTTATAATTCCAAAATTGCGAGTTAAAAATTAGGTAACTCGCAAAAACTTGCGAGTTGATTTTTTTGCATTGAAACTGTAGCAAAATTATATAATATGACAAAACACAATGCTTTTGATTTAAATCAGTAATTCAAATAAAAGTCACCCTGTAGCTGTATTTTGTGTATTGTACAGTAGTTACTTTTTCCTTAAGTTACATGTATTTAATTTATATAAATTTAACTTTATATGAAAATTGCGAGTAGTCTTATAAAATTGCGAGTTCACTTTCTTGGTACTCGCAATAATTTGCGAGTTGTAATTTTAGGGAGTTTCTAACCCTGGAGTTTTCCAGATAAATTCGTCGAAGGTTACTTGTATTTACATGTATATGATTATAAAAAGGAAACGTTCCGAGCAATGGTAAATAGTATACGACAAATCACTATTGATCTTATCATTTTATTATACAATAGGAAGATTTTCTCGCTTCGAAAGCGAAATAACCTTATTCTTCAGTTGGAAAAGAACTGTTTCAGAAAAAAATTCTTCAGTTTTGGCCATTTTTGTGTAATCTTTGCTACTTCTTGAGTCAAAATTTTAAAAAAGTAGAAAAACACATCTGAGATTAACCGTTTTAAAAGACAAGTTTTCTTTATTTTTTTAACGAGATTTATTAATGACATACTAATCAGAATTATATTATTTTATTCCATTATTTTATTTTCCAGGAGAGGCGGACTGAATAAAATCAGGATCAGGCATAAAGGTGTATGCTGAATAAAAACCTGTTGAGAAAAACACTAACTCAACTGACGATCTTCCCAGTCCTTTCTCATAGGACAAAGTTCACAAGTGTTTCTTGAGAAATATCAATGGATAAGAGAGTGCATAGACAAGTGACCTTATAGAAAATATGGATGCTTGTAGGACTGGCGTATATCCTTTTCGTTCAAAAAAAGCATTTTCTCTCTTTTTTACGACACATTTAACTCAACATCAGACGGAGAGAAAAACACTGTACACATCTACATACAGTATGTATTTGGAAAGCATTCATTCAGGCTTATTTCTGCTGTGCGGACCCTGCTAAGTTTAGTTTTCCTGAGTTGGACAATATTGGTTCTTGTATCGTTTTAACTGTGGGGAATGTTCATGAATTTGATGTGTTATATTTCAATAAACATTGTTTTTAACTCTTTAAAATGTACTCAAATATTTTACTTTTTATATTTCAATTTTATGGCGAATTTCCAAATAATATTGGCACCATAATAAAAGTTTTTGATGTATATGTTTATGAAAATATGTCAAGGTTTAGTGGTTAACAAGGGAAAATATAATGATAACGTTATAAATCTAAAAAGTATTATTTCAACACAGGAAGGTCGGTGAAATCTTAATTGTATAATGCCAGATTTTAATGATTGATAACATAAGCTTCACAGAGCAAGAACAAGAAATAGTTACAAATCATTGAATCAACATACAGATACTGATCTGGATATGTAAAATAATGTTTTTAAGTCCGTTTTATTCTCTCAGTGTAACAAAGATTTTATTTACCATTATCACCTGCATATGGAGTTTATGTCCTCCAGTTGATTCTATACCTAAGAGCATGCTCTACGTAAGAAGAATTTCTGAATCGAGGCAAACTATTGACAAATAAATTGATGACACAAAGCTATCAGCTGTCTAGTTTAAAGTCAACATTTCGCAAATTCTATGGTCAAAACAAAGACCTTGTCAGTAAATACAATCTATTGTTGACTGATGTTTTGCATACGAATTGTTAAATCATTATTTTCACACTGAATTTTTATGTTTGCCCGATTATGACAAGGAGCACACGGCGAGTGTGAACGGTTGAGAGGTTATGCTTACTCCTCCATGGCACCTGATCCCACCTCTGATGTTTTCGTGGTCCGTGTTTGCTCTGCTCCCAAAATGCATTGTTTCAATGGGCTTTTGAGCTTAACTACTGTTCTTTTTCTAAATATTTTATTTAACTTTAATAATGTAAACCAACTTTTATTCTTTGCAAGTTTTATTCGCGATTTGTCTGTTTGAAACACAACCGCGACGACTTATTTTGCGAATGAGGGGAACATTCTAAATACTAGAACATGTAGATAGTTCGAAGCTAGATATATTCTCCAGTGAAAGAAGGTCAAAAAACTCGAGCATATATGTCGGGAATTAAAGTTGATTTACAATATCTAAAGTAGTTTTTAGAGTGAAATAGAGGAGAGTGTTCTCAGAGTTAAAGTAGGCATCTTATTCCGTCCCATTCTATTACTGTAACACTACTCTCGATACAACAGTTCTAATTACATTTGCGCTATGTTATATAAGTTCCTTTTTACATAATTTATGTATCACAATTAAAAAGAGTATCTTAGAAGAATGTCAATAGCTATGAATTTTTTTTATTATTATTATTTCAAAGGCTTTTTGTATTCTTCAGTTTACTTGTTTTTGAAATTTTAAATCATGAATTCAAATGCAATTCATCAAAGAAAACATTTATTTATTTTTGAGACCCTATTGCAAGAACTCTTAAAACTTTTATTTTTCTGAAAATTCAATTAATTGTGTACGCAAATGTCATCATACTCTCATGACTTATTTTTCTGTGTATAAAGGGGACGCAACTTTCAATTGTAAACATTTAAACAAACTACCTGTTTTATAAAACTATTTTATTTTCCTTTCACACATTATCTATAGGGGCACTTTAAAAATATTAGTATTACATTTTAAAAGTGCACTTCTAAATAATTTATAGATTACTTTTCGCACGCTAAAGGTCTGCTTAATATCATCTACATGAACTTATAAGACATATTTAGATTAAATCAATTCTTTAATACATTTTAGTTCAGTACGTGGCTCTCAAAATGTAGAAAGTAAAGATGAATTTAACGATGCATAAATTGTATTTGTAAATATTACTATATAGTGTGATGCATAAAAGTTTATACTCAGTTTTTAGATGAGATGTCGTCTAGATTCCTCATTTTTGCTTTTTTGGCGTCTTTTGTTTCTTTTTCCATACAAGGTAAAGATTTTGTACTTATATATATATTCAACAATCGGTTAGATTCTCAGTTTTTCTTTCCTTATTTATGATGATATCCTTATATATTCCATTTACAGCGTCGGTAGAGTTGATTCTTGTTCAGTTCCTGGAATAATATATGTATAGTTTTTTTAAGTTTTCGCTGTTGTGATCATTCTTTTCATTGAGGGCTATAACTTCAATTTTAAAAGTAAATTCATTTTCAGTGGTAAACTGATTGTTACATATATATATGAGAAATGAAACCTATGAATGTGCCGAACAATATATATATATATATATATATATATATATATATATATATATATATATATATATATATATATATATATATATATATATATATATATATATACAGAAATTCGATTGGTAAAAATCATACTTTTGTAAAAAGGAAAGATAATGCGCTACCATGCTTGTATTCTACTGGAAACAAAATTTCTTTGAAATAAACAGTGAAGTGTTACTTACCTTCATTCCAGAGAGTCAAGAGAGTAAATCTAAAATATAAATCTTAGTTTAAGATACACATTAATTTCGAGTTTCAATTACAAAATAATTCTCCAACAAAAAAAATGTTATTTCAAATATATACCTGCACAACCTTCACCTTTAATTTACTTGTACTTATTAGATTTGTTTAAGTATCAGAATTTCTGCATCAGAAATTCATTAAATATTGTCAGCACTTCTTGGCAAGTTGACTATAGGTTCTAGATTTCTAGAAGTTTATCCATGCACTTTGAAATCACCGCTCAATGTTCTTCAATATAAAATAAAAACGGTCCAACGATAATGCTATGAGGTGTAATCAAAAAGTTCGTGGACTGATGCGATAAAATTGATACTATATTAGCTGTCCTTTCAAAATCTATAAGGAAATAAAACATTAAAAGTTAAAATTTTTAGCTTGACACAATAACAATTTGTTATTTATCATTGAATACAATAGAATCGGCATAAAATGTGTCTCTCCTCCCTCTGGAGAGTTGCACATCTCTAACATTTCGGTATATACGTATTTTTTTCAAATCCTTGAATTTGCCAATGTTCGACCTTTTAAGAATAAAGAGTGGGGGGGGGGGCAAGCAGCATCTAAATTTACATTTAAGAACTACAAGAAAAGGTTATTCTCAGTACCACGGGCTTGGATGTAGATTTCACAGAAAAATTGTGTCACATTGCACGAGTAAATGAACGTGACAATTGGACGGCAAATGATCATAACAAAATGACTCGGTAGAAATATGTCGTATTTTGAGGTTGCACTGCATGGTCATACCATTGCTTATGAAAATATTGACAATTTATTCAAAGATAACCCGTATGTTTGATAAATTACTCTATAAATAGAAAAAATGGTTTTGAATAAATATGCAAAAATTCATTGAAGTATCTTTTGTAATTTTATGTCGCCAATCTACGAACATATTATTTATTTACAGGAAAATAAAACAAACATGATTTTAAACACGTTTTGATATTGACGATTGTTGGTCGTGGCATGTTTAAAAGCAGCAAGGGGTCGCCAAGCGTAAAGAGCGACCCCAAATTACAACAAGCAGCAGCATAAACTATTATTAATAAGCATAATAATAGCCGTTCCTGATATACTGCGAACGGTAATTAACCTTTCAATTACAGTATATTTTATGTATTTTACATAAACTTTACATTTTTGTAGAGTTAACCGCGAACGTAACTAAAATATTTTAGCAAGCAAAGCATTGCATGAATTTGTTGAAAGCAGTACACATTTTGCACAGTACCTGAGTTTGTTTTAAGGGCATACGCAATGTATTTTGAACTTTATTGTCTTTTTCCCTGGAGTTGAAGAGTTCCAATACTTAAAGGAACTGTGTGCTACATTTTAATGTCTGTATATGCTGTTGTACACTTCTTTTAAAACAAATTTGGATAAACAAAACATCTAGAATATATGTTTAGTAATTTTTGATTATATTTCTTTGAAGTATACAAGAATTTTCAACAATTGATAACTTTTCAAAACCTCTGGTAATGCATGTTGATTTTTTGTCTATGAACATCTGATGGCATTATTATCTTAAATTAAGAATATCTTGAAAAATTATCAGTAGGTAGGGTACGTTGCATATGTCCTTAAGCAAGCAAAGCAGACCATTTCATGAATTTGTAGAAAGCAGCACACATTTTCACAGTAAATGAGTTTATTTTAAGCAGTACAATGAATTATAGCATTAGTTGAATGGCTCGGCGCTAACTGAATCATGAAATGACAAACGGAAAAAAGGCACTTCAATGGAATGCCATGCTGGAATTACTTCGAGCGAGGTTAAACACACAATTAAAAATCACAACATACAAAGTCAGTCCAATGGAATGCCACGACGGAAATCTTTAAGTGAAGTGAATACTCTTGTCGAAACCTGCAAATGGTAGAGAAAACCCAACAGCAGACAAAACTTCTTAAATTTGTTTAAATCATAATGCAAAATTCCACCAATACTCTAACTTAGGGAATGGGATGGCATGGGATTTTAGAAAAACTGTGATTGAAAGCATATTTTTTTCCAAAATTCTGTCTGCTACAAAATTCGTGTACCTTTCGTATTTGGATCCAGGGCAAAGAAGAGGAAAACTGTGATCGAAAACATTTTTTTCAAAATTCTGTCTCCTAAAAAATTCGTGTACCTTTTGTTTTTGGGTCCTAGGCAAAGAGGAGGAATTGAGATTAATTCAATTAAATTCAATCAATTACCAATTAAGATACAGACTACCGGTATATTTTCAACTTGATTTTTTTTTTTCACAAAGTCCATTCTAGTAAAATGGACTTGGAAAGCAAGATACAAGATTATGAGTATGATCTACTTGAAGACACAAATGGAAACTAAAGCCAAATGTAAATATTTATATTGTCCATCATTCATTTTTGATAGCTTGAGAGTCACCTCTAACATCAAACCCTATATGTAGGTACCAGTAATTATCACTTTTGATTGTGTTAAATTTATATCTTCATCGATGATGCCTGTCCTGCTAATTACGAGTGTCAATTAATTAAATTATTAATACATACTCGTTTTACAATTATAGAATTGTCTGTTGATTAAATGTCACTTTACATAAAACATAAAG